ATACGTCAACAACCACAGACTGCTTATTTAGAAATTACCACACAAAAAGAGACATCGTTCATGCGAATAATGCTACACAAGCCACGCCCTCTCTATTATCTACCTATCAGAAACAGAAGTTCGTTAATGGGCGTGGCCTATTTTTTTCCTGTTTACGAAAACATAAATGCAAACATACTGTTTGGTAAGCCAATCAGACAGACCAGAAAATGATAAAACTTGGCTTCAATACACTGTAAAAGCAGCATTGCACCTGTAAACCATACACACAGGTGATGTTTTAACACCGTCAGAACAGCATTTTAGTCTTTAGCTTTATGTAGGACAAATCTCGAAAAGATGCAGGTCTCAGACGTTTACCACATTGCTGAAATCCACGATCAACTGATATGGTTCTGACAAACATAAACACATAATCGTGGCGAATCAGGGATTCGAACCCACGATCATAGGTTTCTGGCTTGCCCAAGGGAGGCAACTCTGCACAGCGAATCGCGGCGCCTTAGACGACTGGGCCACCCGCGGGATTCGAACCCACGAGGTTTCTGGTAAGCCTACGAGATGCACAGCGAATTGCGGCGCCTTCGACATCTGGGCCCCGTGCGACGTTTTTATTTGTGACCTCACCGCTCACTGACCTTTCAAACACATAAATATGTTTACCTCTGCTGATTCTCTGTAGGCCATATTGCCAAATATATATTGCCACATAGAATTAAAACGGCGCATTGATAGACCCTCAGGTTGAGCCTGGCTAGCGAAAGATCTGGCGTAGTGTATGCTTCAGTGAACAGAAGCCAGGACAACAGGCCGATCAATTTGTATACCCCTGGCTGTGAACGGCTTTACAACAGCTCATGAAAAGGGAATTGTTGGGACAATTTGTAATTGAGACGTAGATACATGCAAGGAAAGGTTATCTGGTGGATGTGTTAATCCTGGGTCACCGATCTATGGTGTCCTGTGGTCGAGCGGACGCTGTAGTTCTACACGTATATTTCAGACAAACTGGTGGGAAAGCTGTTTCCCGAAGCTCGCCTCCGTACTATCGTGGAAAGAGTGAGTGAGTTTGATTTTTCGCCGCTTTTAGCAATGTTCCAGCAACATCACGGCGGGGGACACCAGAAATGGGCTTCACACATTGTACCCATGTCGGGAATCGAACCCGGGTCTTCGGCGTGACGAGCGAACGCTTTAACCACTAGGCTACCCGACCGCCCCTCTCGTGGAAAGAGCGTCTGGTCGCAGAGCGGAAGGTCGGTTGTTCGATCCCAGCCGCGTCTTACCAAAAGACGTTAAAAATTGTACTTTTGTTACCCTGCCTGGCGCTTGGTATTAAGGGGATAAAACGAAGACTGGTCGGCTCGAAGTCAGTGTACTGTGTCTGTGCGGGGTATCCATGTTATACTGCGGTGAGGTATCTTTGGGCTAGCACTATATAAAACCGGCATGGTCCAGTCTGGTGTTAGCAAACACACCTAGTGGTTAAGGCATTCGCTCGTCACGCCGAAGTTCCGGGTTCGATTTCCGACATGGGCACAATGTGTGAAGTCCATTTCTGGTGTCCCCCGTTATTATATTGATGGAATATTTCTAAAAGCGGCGAAAACAATATTCACTCACTATTACTTTAATGATATGCTTTACATCCATCGTACAATCTCAGGTTACTGTGGACATTCAGTTCTGTCAATGGACAGCATGCACAAGCTTCCGTTTTAAGCAGTTTTCATCCTCGCGTCTGTCATCTGTTAAGGGCTGTTAGTAGCCCAGTGGTTAAAGCGTTCGCTCGTCACACGGAAGACCTGGATTCGATTCATCACATGGGTTCAATATGTGAAGCCAGTTTCAGTAAAATTGCTGGAACATTGCTGGAAGTGGCCTGAGACCCATCACTGTCATCTTAATTTACATTGCCGGGCAAAAGAAAGTATACACGTGAACATTGGAATTGACCCAAAAATTACGAACGTTATCAATACGTTACTAGGCTAAAACAATCGCCGAAACACTGCAAACTTAAGGCCCAAAACACAACGTATACCCGTATCAAATACATCATCATATAATATTTTTTTCGTGTCTGTTGCATTTTTAGCCACCATCAAACATGGGTTTATAATTCCAATAGCCCGGCAATTTATGTATAAAATGTAATAAATAATCCATTTATGACTTTTCCAAAGTTTTAGAACACACAAAACTTCAATAAACAGATGCAAAATTTAAGCATAATGGAACAAATTAAATGTAACGACTAAAAAAAATAATAATCTAATATAATAAGACATGAATTACGTAAAATGTTTTGAATTTAAGAGAACTTAAACCATACATGATGCCATAAATAGCAGATTGGTCTTCGCGTGTAAGGCTTCCCCAATCATAAAATACATATTGACAAAAGATCTTCTTGATTCACTGAGCTGAATATAATAACAACGTGTTATTGTAAGTTAATACCGCACAAGAGGAACATGGGAAGCCTTATCTATGTAATCGCAGCGCAAACATGAATTGGGTTACTGTGGGGTTGTCAAGCTGTCAAAATCACGTCTCCGCCACCGGACTGACGTCAAATGTTTTCAGGTCGTTACAAGCGGTGTTAATTTTCAAACGGTGTGGTTAATTGTTGATATTATCGCTGCGGCGTTTTTCACACTAAGCTTCCATACTCCCGCCTCACACAACGAATCATATAGCCATGATTGCTGCCAATTAACAGTCTAAACAGCCAGGATTTGAACAACTGGACAACAAAGTGTTATATTGGATTTCATCCTCTGGCATCTTGCTACATTCCTAAAAGTTTAGCATCAATTTTCGAAATTCCATTCTGATTATACCCTTGCTAAATATAATAGTTTGTGTGTGAAATAGTAGTGTTTATGATTATTTTATGTTTTTTTAATGCTTAGTCAGATAAGAAGGAGTACGTGTTTATAATTACTTAAATCGAAATATAATTTAAACATATAAACTAAATGTTATTGGTATTATATCATCAGACATTTTATGACACTGTGTTTGTTTGTTTGTTGTTTAACGCTCAGCAATATTCAAGCTATAGACTGATGCCTTTAAATACCAGTACCAGTGATTGATATCTTGAACATCGATCCAGCTAACTTGGATACGAGCCTGACCACCCGATCCCGCTAGTCGCCTTTTACAACAGCCATGGGTTGCTGAAGACCTATTCTAACCCGGATCTTCACGGGTCTGTACCACTGTGGCCCGCATGGAAACTGCAACAACATCAACAACATCAACAACATCAACAACACCAACATCATCAACAATAATGCCTCAGCTCCCTGTCAAGAGATCATGTTAGATTCCCCAGTATCTATTGTATACTACTCAAAAGAAGTTAAAGAACACCCCAATATTTCCTAATGGTTAATCTACAGTAATATGAAAACATCCGGTGTTCTTCCACTTCTTTTGAGCAGTATACTTTAAGAGAGACTTTTAGAGACGAAAATGGAAATGTGTGATCAAGGTCTTTGTGTCGATAATGTGGCATCGAACCCAGATTATTACCTGATACAAAGTCGATTATCTACAATCTGCCGTGATACAGCTAGCATATTGCCAACTGCGGAGTTCAAGAATATTCACTCACTCTAATTTGACATTTTATTTGACAGTACAGAAATGACTCACCATCGTCAAGACTCCCCATGATGCTTTGATTTGATAAAATGTATCAATTATATTTTATTCCTGCAAGGAGTATACGAATGTTGGGCTAGAGTACGCATTTGTATTGACAGACTTAATCACTGGCTGGCAGTCCAAACTTCGAATACATCCATTATGTTCCTATGACGAATCTGAAGTTCTTATCTCAATCAATGAACGTAACTGTTATTATTCATACGGGGGATTACCTTTACAAAATGTCTAATAGCTATAGCATCAGAGTGCAGATTATGACCCTTATTATGCGTGCATGCGTGTGTGTGTGTGTGTGTTTGTGTGTGTGTGTGTGTGTGTGTGCGTGCGTGCGTGCGTGCGTGCGTGCGTGCGTGCGTGCGTGCGTGCGTGTATACACACAACTACTTTGAAAAACATTTGTGTGTTTGGAGATTTTATTGAGTTTGTGGAGAGCAGAACTTTAACATTTGAAACCTCTCGTTAGGCTGTCGGTTCTAAACACAATTTCAGGGCATCAAATACTCATTAACGCCGGCAAATCTGTTCAATATGTACCCTCTAACTACCATAGTGTGCTACCTAAACATTCAGTCACGTACTCCCATGACACTTTAACGTAGATTCCTACAAACACTCTTGTCAAGATGGTAAGCACATATTTTATCTTACATGCATATTGCTTGTTTGCCTGTCACGTCACTCAATCTACAATCAATGTTGTACCTATCTGTAGGAATATCAGTGTTGAGAAAGTAGCTTATACGAAAGTGCGTATGACTTACACTTATACAAGGATTGATGTGATTCCATCCCTCCCAATTATATCTTTTATTTTACGTCCTTATGATCAACTCAGCTGGTAAACAATCACTACGAGTTAGACATAGAGAGAGAGAGAGACACACACACAGAGAGAGAGGGAGGGAGGGAGAGAGAGAGAGAGAGAGAGAGAGAGAGAGAGAGAGAGAGAGAGAGAGAGAGAGGGAGATTTTATATAAGTTCTTTGATAATATTTTCCGATAAAGGCCAATGGTTGATTGCTGAGACCCCTAAGCGGCAAGTATTTGGGAATACGTGGTTGGGTGCAGATCCTACCCTTAACACTGGCAGTGATTTACACAGCACGGCTCTATCAGATATGCCCAGTCTGACGGATTATCAATTATAACGCGCGCGTGGACGTATTGAGGCAATGTAATACAAGTTAACATTGTTAAGGGGGAAGGAAGGGGGAAGCCCGGCTCATGCAATCACAGGTCCACACTAGTATTCACAGCGAGCTTTATATAGGTAACACAGGCGGGACTAACTCATATCACTCGCTGCTTAATCCGCAATCAGTCATGAGCGAGAAGGCAGTACCAAGTTATGTCAGGAGCCTTGTGGCTTATTTCATGCGCTGATAATACCCTACGCGGCCTACCCGGCTTACACAAAACAGCTTGGTAACGTCCATACCCGTTCCGATCCAGTGAGGAAAAATCCATAGGGTACAAAAGGCTATCAAAGGGATCTGAAAAAAATCAATGAGGCCCCTAGCCACCCAGTAACTGGGCGATTTGTCCATTTGTTAGTGGGACAGTGTTGAGAAAGCTTGGCCTGTGCTGGGCGACTCTGTCTTCACAACTCGGGTAGCTTTCAGACACGGATTTAATCAAAGGCAGGGGACGTTCCATGGTTTACTGAAGAACATTAAAACTACGACTCCAGGATACCTTGAGATATTGGATTAACTGGATTCAAACCGTTGATGGGTTCTCAGGGGTCAGAACCGGGATAGACTGGAGATAGATGTGTCTAGTGGTGACTTTGTGGAGTGTCGTAGGCACATAGTTCGCAGTGCATGAACTTGTAACCACGGACTGTTAATGATAGAAGGAGCTTCAGGATCTGGATACTTACATTGAAACAGAGATGCTGAACACCTTCATCACTCGACAGGTGTAACAGTGTCCTGGGACTCACAGAGGTGGCGGAATGAGTGGTATCACCCTACCCCCCATCCCCGGGGCTGTCCCGGCCCCCCTGGCAGGGGAATCCCGACCCAGCAGTCGGAGCAGCACGTGCAGCACCTCCATGACCATCGTCCCCCACGTGTACTTCACAGGTGAGTCGGCAACGTCACACAACGACGCTACGTCAACATTTAGTTTCTCAGATTGTTGATCTTTCTCATAAGCCATATGGCCTTGTTTCAGAAAATACCTTGTGGACGAGTTTATTGTTTTATTCATAGGATATCATGTTGTATGATGAAACACATCCACATCCACAACCACATCCACAACCACAACCACAACCACATCCACATCCACATCCACATCCACATCCACATCTTCTAATACGGTGATAAATATATTACCTAAATATCATCTTAGACATTTCTTAACAATGTGCCGCTTTTTTTTATTTCAATTGATTTATGTGTAAATAGTTCTTAATCAAAATGTTGTGAAAATGAAACTTTGATAACCAAACTACATTGTAAAATGTTTCCTAAATAGATTTCAGTATTTTAAAACTATTACCTCATTCCAACTGTATCATGAACTGATTAATGAATAATTAATGTATATCAATGTTCATAGTCAGGTGTAGTCCTGTCGCAGATAAACTATTATCCCTTGGACGTCCTTATATACATTAGTTAGCACTGAATAAATAATAGTACAGTCGGATATTTACAAGAAATACAACACAACGTTATAAAGTATATTTTCACAGCATGGAGGTCATAATTAATTAAAATGTTAGTATTATTGTTTAGTAGAAGAATGAAATATAAATTTCATCAAAATGTTATTGAAATTATGACTTATATATTAGAAGAAATATATTTAAATTATATTCAAACATGACGATGTATTAATCCGCTTCAGCACACATATTTCATGTACCGTATTGCCGACGTATTGAGAAACAGTTTTGTCATAACTGTGTCAACATTCTGGAGAGAACGCTATTATTTCCTTAGTATGTAGTGGCATAGACTTTCTTTCATGTTTTATTACCGCCTCAAATGAAGCACTTATTTTATGGCCATATTTATATTCATTTTTAATCGTCTTTGTCCTGTGTGTATAGAGTATCAGTTGGGATTGTACAGGTATTTTGGGCGATGGTAATACAACATTGCACTAGTGGAACCTACACTCAATACTGTATGTCTCTAGTGAGTAAAAGGTGTTTTAATTAAAAACTCGACATAGGTTAATATGGTTTCTTTGGCTGTCAAACAAATTTCCTTTTACCCTGATCTGAACATCAGAGTATTACATATTGTATATACTCACGGGCAAAAGAGAGTGTACATCCATGTTTGAAGTGGCTAAAATGAAACAAACATGAAATGGCTTTTGATGGTGATACATTTAATCGGGGTATCATGGTTGTGTTTTGGACCTTTGGTTTGCAGTGTTTCGGTGACTGGTTTCAGCCTGGTAACAATGTCATAACATTGGTCATTTTTTGTCAACTATGTAAATATTATCATAAATACCTGCATGTAAACATGTCTGATGTATGCGAAACAGGCGTGTGTATCGTACGTACAATCTATGTAGGTGTATGACACTGACAATTTTTAATCTTTCTTATACATATGCCATTCACGGTCTGAAAGTTATCAAGTCAACGACCGCGTATACTTATACAAATGGGGGCGGTCGGGTAGCCTAGTGGTTAAAGCGTTCGTTCGCTCGTCACGCCGAAGACCCGGGTTCGATTCCCGACATGTGCACAATGTGTGAAGCCCATTCTGGTGTCCCCCGCCGTGATATTGCTGGAATATTGCTAAAAGCGGCGTAAAACCATACTCACTCACTCACTCACTTATACAAATGGTATACAAGTTGAAGTCAAATTGCAGATAACTGTTTTGTCGTTCTAATTCACGGTGTTGTTGAGTTAGATGTTCATGTGAATAGCTGAAGCGAACAGCGGCAATATTGCTGATGTGGCGTTAAGCACTGTTCATTAATTCACACGAATAGCGAAATCCCGTTTATTGATCACAGATGCATTAACGCCGCCCTATTGTATCAGGATATATGCAAGGTAGTCTATCCCTTAATAGCTTTAAGTATTACATGTAAGAGAAGTACAGATTAGTGTCTGAGTGCGTTTCTGAATCGTAAATATATTAGGAATACAAAATTGATTAGGCGAGCATGCGAGCATAAAACATATATAATATTCCTAAAATATAATTTAGTTACGAAAACACAATAGGGCAATAATATCTTTATCATAAAATGTCATTCGTAAAATAATGCATGTTTAAACCAATGAAGAGTCTTTAGAAACCACGTTCAAATACATGTGCAATGGGGGTGTAGCCATGTGATCAACTTGTTATGTAATATAAAGGCATTAGGCTCCTTCAAGATGAATTGAAACATTAAAACGCTCCTTTGATTATTCGTCGAACAGTGAGTAAATGAATATGGTTCTACGTGATTTGAGCAATATTCCAGCAATGTCACGGCGGGGAGACTCCGGAAATCTGAAAACTAACCACGTGGGGAATCGAACCCGGGCCTTCGGTGTGACGAGTCAAACATGTATCTACTGGACCACCCAACCGCCCCTTTTGTGTATCACGTCTCAACGTAGATTTCACACACATTTGTACCAAATCCTAAACGTTATTTATTTGTCTTCTCTTACATACATTTTTCAGATACAATTCAATGTAATTCAGTATGAATCAATAGAATAATATGAATCTGTACATGCACACATCAAAAACCGTGTGTGCTTGTACAATTTCTTGCAACTTATTGCCGGTATAAACAAAAACTACATCTCGCCTTTCAAACTGCATATAATTGCAAGTTATTGCAAAAAATCAATCAGTGATCGATGTTTCTATATTAATCGGTTTGGTGTTTGGCAAATATCTTTATCAGATTGTAATAAATCTACAAGTCCTGTGACGTGGGTTATCAGATTGTGGCAATGACTTTCAGTAATAACGCTAAGGTGAAACTAAAAAGATTTTATCAACTGTTCCCACCGAGAATAGCAATCAAGATAGGTTGGGTATTAGCTTTATCAGAATCCTGTTCACAGTACGCGCAATGTGTTTACAACGAGCGTTCGGAGACTGACAGCCCGGATTAAAGACTTAGCCCAAATCCATCGTCAGACGTATCATAATCTCGCCGGATTAAGTCGATAATTCACCGACCTTGCAACAAACGAATACAGAATTATAAGACTACTTAGGTACCATTTGTTGATGTGATATTTTACATAGAAACCAGTACTGTTAATCTGTGTATCATTTGACATCCCATAAGAACAATAGCAATTCGACTTTTTCAAAAGCGAAATCAATGTCTGCCCTTTCAACATTCTTACTTAAAGTCATCATATAAATCGAGGATATTTTTTCACTTTTCGAGGAATTGATGACATGCAACCGTTGTTTTTAATATGTTCGGAATTATGCTAACGATATAATTATTTTTGGAAAACTAAGAAATAATTTGTTCCGAGAAAACTAAGAATCTAATTTGCGTCAAAATTGCAATATTGTTTACTGGAGAGTCTGGATGTGCGGATAATATGTGTAGTTGAACCACTTTTAAGAGTTAAAAATCATTCAAACAGTGACCGATATATATTCTGTGTGTATCAAAATCCTAGATCCTCGGTCCTGCCAAGATTAGTGTGTGAGTATAGTTTTATGCCGCTTTTAGCAATATTCCAGCTATATCACATCGGGAGACACCAGAAAAAGTCTTCACATATTGTACCCTACGTTGTGGGGAATCGAACCCGGGCCTTCGTTAATAGCTTTAACCACTGGGCTACACTATACTCTGTGTCGTATTGGGTGATGTTTGACATTTCGTTTCTATCTGTCTGTGTTGAATTTAACGCGTAAGAGACAAACATTTATTAAATACCTGTGCATTGACGTCTAAAGTATCATTTAAACAATGTTCATTTTACCTAAATTCAACTCAACTTCATGTGTCAAAATTATTATTCTGTAGGAGTGCGTTGAATTTAACATTTAATAGTAATACATTTTTAAAATACCCCTTCACTGACGCTTAAAATAACATCATTTCAACCCCACAACGAAATGATTTATTTATGCAGGCTTTTGTTGACTTTAACATGCCGGAGACATGTTTATAAAATATCTTTGCGCTGTTTTAAAAATCACACTTTCAAAATGTACATTTTACAATAAATTCAACCTCACTTCACGTAACAAAACCATGATGAAAACATTCTTCCAGTCGGCAATGTTTGTGTTAGTTTCCGAGATTAGCTACCAAGCGGGTAAAAAGCGGTGTTTGACACATGCACCTTGTAGGACTCCAGCCAACACGGAGAACAGTTGCAACAGGGAGAACTCTGCCAAGTCTGCATAAACAAATTACTGGACTGAAATACTCAGACCCTTGTGTCTGATACTAGGATACAGGGGAGTAGTATATTATCTGCTCCTTCAGGTAGTGTAAGGGCAACCTCACGACAAACACAACCTTTGAACATGAACAGATCGTGTACATATATTACCATCACTGTTGGTAGTGTTGTGTAGGTTTTATATAGAGTTCGTGATCTCAGATATTTTCATTGTTAGGAGGTACTTGGGCAGTCTATCGATCTTGACTCGATAAGTATGCACTGTAGATTTATAGTCTTTTATTATTCATGACTTTTTCTTTTATTGCTTTTAAGCTTATTTTAGTATTGATTATTGATTTCATTGTATGTTTGGTTGCTGTTTTACGCCGCACACAATAAATCAAGTTGTATAAGGGCGGCCTGAAAACTAATTGAATCTGAACCACACAATCCAATGGCTGATATCATGAGCATCCGTCGTGGTGCGATGACGCGCAATAAACAAGCCGCCTAGTTTGACCACCGACCAGCATAGGTTGCTGGGAACTATTTCAACCCTGAAGCCTTGTTATTGACGTGAGGATTTGAATCACAAATAAATGTTAAACCTACATTATACGTTAGTGGTCATTCGTATTTATGCATGTAGATAAGCAAAACATGCGTAAGGAATTCGTGTTACTCAACAGTACTTGTGTACGTTTCTTTCATCGTTCAACTAAGGTTATAACAGAA